TTCTATCTATGCTTTTATTATATATATATATATATATATATATATATACACATATTGCATTTGAATCTCACAATTGATGCTTGCTTGCATCGTTTGACAGACAACATGGCCACACACAAATACAAACACACGTGTTGCATTTGAATCTCACAATGGATGCTTGCTTCGCACAACATGGCCATACCACGAGATGCATAATAATATTAGCCCTTTCGTAATCCTTTAATCATTGACACTCAAGATTGTTTTGAAAATCCGGCTAGTGGCTGTCATTCTCACCATTTTGAAGGAGTTAATTTCTTATTCCAAGTAGGTCCTATGCTTGCTACTTAAGTTTCTTCCAAGATTGATATTGCCAATATTCAAAAGATAGGGCACACCAAGCTTCATTCAAACAGTGTTGCGTGTAAGAAACGTGGAGCATTGCTCCATTTCATCATTGACCCTAATGGGTTTAGTGATTATTTACGTAATTTAATTCAAAAAGACGCCATGCTTGCATGTAAATATTTTTAAAGTGAAATTTATTTGATGTTAGTTATAATTTACTGAATCAGTAAATTTAATAATTGTTGAATTAGTATTAGTATCTTATATAAATCTAACAGATTATTGAATCAATTCTTGATATCAAATAGAGTTTACTAAATATTTTTTATATTTTTTTAGAACCCATTTTTATCTTATCAAATTAAGATGAATTGAATTTTGGGTTTATAGTGGGTTATTTTGGTCATTATATCCTCAAAATTTTCTTTGCAAAGCTCAAATTTCTATTAATTAAAATTCCAATCTGGCTAATAGAATGACCTCTTACAAATACAAATAACTCCCAAACTTCTTTAAAATAACAAAGCAGATCCGTGGCTCGGTAGAAATATTATATAAATTAAAAAAGCATTTGCTTAATTTTTTTTTTAAGAAAAGTTGTTTCGTGTAAGCTTTTCACAACAAAGAAAGGGGGCTTTTGAAAATTAGAACACGATAATTTATTCCATTGAATCCGGTTTGTGGGTCCACAGAGAAAGGGACATATTTTGGAAAAAATATTAACTTATTATAGGTACAACAATACATTGCACAAGGTACAAGTAGAAGAAAGCAGTTCGGTTACTGTTATAAAATCATAATTATTAAATAATAAAATAATAATATTTTGTATTTTTTTAATGATATATGATGCACAAAAAGGTTGTAATTATAAAGACAGTGCAAAGATTCGGATCATAAAGCGGCATCTTCCCAGAAAGATCGCCACCAACTCCGCACGTGCCACCTCACACGGGCGGGCCAATCCGCGTCTGCTCCTAGCCATTTTTGCTCTGTTCGGATTATAAAAAAACAATTTTCTGCTCAGCTGTGCTATATAACCACCCCATCTAACGGTCTCTCCCTCTTCTTCTTCTCCTCCAATCTGTCTATATCTCTCTCTCTAAAGACATCTGTGCACTGCAGTACAGTGCAGAGCTGTCCGGTATTCAAAACTTGCTCGGCTGTCCTTTGGAATATAAAAATACGTGGCCTCTCCCATTTCCTTTTTTTCTTTTCTCTTTCTTTCTTTCTCTCTCTTCTTTGGTTGTCTCTTGCTCTCACCGTCTCTCTCTGCCGTCTGTCACTCCGTCCTTGGCGATCTGAGAGAGACGAATGAGGTACCAGTCTGCACAGATAGTGCAAAACTTGATATCAGTTTAAATCTAGGGTTTATTGCGTCTCATTCTTGCCCTAGCGCATTCGGAGTCAGACACGGATTGGCGGATTGGCCAGGCAATGTCGCCGTTCGATTCTCTTGACGCGTTTCTCATCTCTGCCAGCAGGGCCTTTTGTAGTCCCCCCGCCATTTTTGTTCAGATCCAGGTGCGGCTCGAAAGTCTGAGAATTTAGTTTTATTAATTTCTCATTGCGCATAGTTGGATCTGGGAATTGAGCGCGCTTTGGTTGCCTGTGAATTGCCTTAGAAGTGACGCCTTAGAATAACTTGGAATCTCAAAAATGGTGGCCATTAATCCAAATAGCATGTTTGCTATATTCAATTTGCTTTTGGTTTCTTGGGTCTAAGTTAAGTGACCTTTACGTGGCAATACGTTGATTTATATGATTCACTGCATCTTTTCAGCAACCTGACTTATTGTTGTTTGCTCTCACCCTTTTCTAAGATATGTAGTTTGGGTTTTGTGTTTCTACTGAGACTGGTTTTTGTGAGGGAAAATTTTTGATAATGGTTCTCTTAATTATGCTGTGCATAGAATTTGTTATTATGTACCATAAGAGTTAAATTAGCTTGTTTCTGGACAGTTTGGTTTTTGACAAGGGAAAGAAGTAAGCGCCGGTTAAGTAGGACTATAAGGCACCATAGAGGTAGATGCCTGACTTTTTGTCACAATTCTGGGATTTTTTAGCTAAACAAGGATTAACAGGATAGCAGTTGTTTTTAATTTGCTTACAATGATAGTCTTCTTGTTTATATTAAACCCTTGAGTTGTCCTAGAAACATAAGCTTTTTTATCCTGTTGATATTAGGTTCTTAGCTTCCCTTTTCTTTCCCCCCCTAAATGAATGAATTGCCTGCACTGTGAAGAAGCCTGTCAATGCCTATGGACTACTGTTAGCTGCGCGAGGTAGATGTATGCTCCACCATTATCATTGTCATCATCATTATTATTATAATTAACTTTTTTACCTCTTTCTCCTCTATGTATCAAAGTTTAGGATCCTTGCAAATGAGGGCATGCAACATGGAAGTTCCACTTATCTTTTTAAGTAGTTCTTCAGTTTGAGGATTGAAAAAAAGTACGTGAGAAAGAGTTGTTTATAGTCCCTTTGTTTCTATATTGTTTGTGTATTTCTTTTTCCTTTCTTTTGCCAATTTTGATGCTTGGACTTGTGCTTTATGGTCCTTACCTTTTCCATATGGTCAAGTTGATATTTCACAACAATGTAATTGAAGACAACAAAAGAGTGCCATTTCTTTGTTTGACATTTTCTAATTTATATGATGTCAAAGTGGGAGAGAATAATCTTCAGCGTCACCCTACGATACTGATCTAGTTTTCTCACATGTCTGGCTCGATGTTCATCATTGACCTCCACACTTTGTTATGGACTGGTTCTGTTTTCCAGTATTTATTCTTATACTCTGAAAGTGCTTCTTATTTTCTTTTCCTTTTTTGCTTCTCATGGGAAATTGTTGTAGGAAAAGATTCACCTATATGCCAAATAGATTGATGTTGGTGTTTTTCATGAATTAGCTGGCTGCTTATTGTGGTTCCAAATATTATACTGGGTGGTTGAATTTACAGTGGAGGAGCAAGTATGCTTCAAGTAAAGTTATCTTTGTTCTTTATGCTCTCAGTGGAGGATTGGGATTTTCTCTGAATAAGAATCATATTTGTTCCTTATGCTAACATCAATGGCTTGCTTGAAGGAAAAAATTATAGTTAATAAATACTGATAGCAGTATATTTCAACTATTGTGTTATCTTTGTTAGTTGTTGCACGAATATCAGCCATTACACAATCCATGGAGTTCATCTGAAATTTCAAATAGTTTGATGTTTAAGGATTTTGGTTCCAGCTGGGAGATCGGTTCTTTAGATGCATTAGTTGATATGATATGGACGTTTCATTATTTTGTTAATTTTCCCCATATCCATGTATGTTAGACCATAGAGATGTCTATGTACAACTTAGTTGAGCATTTTTTTCCCTTATCAATTTTGGAAACCAAAATTTTATGTGACCAAATTAATCATCTGAGTCATCTTACCATATCAATTGTTGATGTAACCTGATTCCCACAGAGATAAGGAAGAAGGGAAGAGCCAAGCAAGATAAATACAGATGTATCAGGAACAAAATCCAGTTTAACCATAATACTGAACAAATCAAGAACTCCTTATAATATAGGTTTAAACTACAATGTGACACATAATAACGAGTACAACAAGAATCAGCAACAGAAATCAAACTGGAATTAAAGTTGCAGCAATCATCAACCAAGGAGGAGAAAGCCAGAAAATCCAAGAAGCACAAGCTCAGAAGGAGAGCAACATGAGGGAAGAAGAAGTGCAGAACTGAAGAAGAAAAGGAGAAACTGCGGCAAATAACAACCAGAGAAGAAGGAATAGGATGTATCAAATGTAAACTAAAGGAAAAGATGAGAAGAAGATATGGCAAATATAAGAAAGAAGAAAGAAGAAGATCCTGCAAAAGAAGGGAGAAGAATAAGAGCAGAAATTAAAGGAGTGGACAAGAAACTGCAGTAACAGCTATTGAAGGAGGAGAAGAGCGGATGCAGCAACCTGAAGAGAAGAAGAGGTAGAAGAAGAGAAAAAAAGAGAGGCAGCTGAGGTGGGGAGAAGCAGCAGCAGCAGCAGCCTCTATTTTAATATCCAAAATCCCTTTTCCATGAGTTGTTCCTTGCTTATATAGCCACTGAAATACGGTTAGGCTTTTGTGTCATCTCTCTGGAGAGCTGCCTCCTTACTGCATAGTGATGATGTGGCCAACTAATGGCCACTAAAATATAAATAACTAATGTGAAAATCCCTACACCTTAGGTAATATAAAATTTAAAAATAAACAAAATAACACATTAATTTACAAAATGATAAAATACTAATAAACTGAAAATCACACAAATCCTCTGATTTTCGGATTTTTAAATTGCGTCAATTGTAATATTATCCTATTGTTGGACTTTGCATCTTGGCCTATGTTTTTGCATAGTTTAGCATGAGTTGCAGCATAATCATGATGAATTGGGCACCTTATTCTTGGTACAGGGATATGTTATCTGCTTAACTCTTGCTATTGGGTGGACTTTTGCTGCTTATGTCAGGTAAAAGATCTTGGTCTTTTAGAGCATAATAATGTGGATTAAGTTTTTGGTTGTTTTCTGCATCAATACTGTTACAGAAATGAAGTGAAGTTTAGTTTATATTTTCTGGTGTTTTTTCTTTTGATGTTTATTTTCTTGTTCCAGGAATAGAGAGATTAGAAGGATGAAAGATAGTATGAGAGCTGGCAATAGCTTTGCTTTTCTATCTCATGATATTAATTACCTTGAGCACTCTAATCAGGTCAACCTGCCACGAGTAACTGTTGTCATGCCTTTGAAAGGCTTTGGAGAGCATAATCTACATAACTGGAGAAGTCAGGTAGAATGTGAATTAACTACTACTTGCAGCCTTCTCACTTCCACCCTGAATGAAAATGATTAACTACAATTAATTATATTTTTAAATTCCATGTGACTTTTGTTATTAGTAGTCCAGAAATAAATGTAGGTCTAGATATCCTTGCCGAGGATCTAATATACTTCATTTCCCTGCATAAGTGTTTTGTCTTTATTCTAGTACAGCCACAGACCTTTTATCCATGAAAGTGGATAGTTTTCATTTGTTTCTAATTTACATCTTCCTGTCATCTTAGGTAAATGTGAAACAGCCTTGGCTACAGATTTTATAACACTAGTACCTTTCTCTCTGTGTTTTTTGGTTGTGAGTTTTCTTTATTCCTCATATTGTCCCTTCTTCATCAATGACCAAATGCAGATAACATCACTATATGGTGGTCCACTGGAATTTCTTTTTGTGGTGGAAAGTACTGAAGACCCTGCTTATCATGCTATAAAGCGGTTGCTTTTAGATTTTAAGGTATATATTATTACAAGAAATGCCCTTTGGTTTGATTGCAAGTAAAGTTGTGGTCTATTACAAGAGAAAAGCAAATCATAATTGTTTATTTATCAACATGTGGTGAGAAAATAGTTTTGTGAATAATGACTGTTTGCTATTTAAAAATGTGAATGTTATTAAATATTGTGTTTGCTTTATGATACCAGTGGTGGGAAGGGATGGACAAAAAATTGTCCTTTCGCAGTCCAGAATAAAAATAAATGTGTGTGTGTTTTTTTTTTTGTGTGTGTGTGTCTTTGTTCCTCCCTTACATCTGCTTATGTCATTCAGTGAGGATTCAAAGTTTAGACTTCATGAAATTATTGAATATCTGGGCCATAATATTTGCTGCTTGCCTGTGCTCACCTGGTTTTATGTCATGCAGTGGAGGAAAGCGAGCTTCCATCACTTCATGCAATCCCCAGCAAACTTCTAACTTCTCCCACATTGTATCTTCACTCATTGATGTTTAGCACATTCTCCATTTAGATCAGGATGATTCCCATCCTTGGAACTGTTAGCGATTCTTCTTTATTGTGATCTATTGATGATGTGCTATGTAATGTCTTGGCTCGATATGCCACTTGTATTTTTATTTTTAGCAATCTTTTTGTATTTATACATTTTCATTTGCCCTTTTTTGATACGGGGTCTGTTGAAGGAATTGGCTTTTTGATGAATGATTTGCTCTCAAAGTTGCTTCTTTGTTCTTCTGCCATGATGTATATGTATTATGAGTTAGCTGGTCTATCTCAATTTTATATTTATGGAATTGGTGTCTTCTACCTATCTTCCTTCTTGATTTGTTCACATATTGATTTTCATGCAGGATTGTGTTGATGCAAAGATTGTTGTAGCTGGGTTATCAACAACCTGCAGTCAAAAAATTCATAATCAGTTGGTAAGCCTCATTCACAATTTTGTAGTCCCCATAGAAGGATCATATTGCACTAGTATTATGGCTCGTTTGAAGTTTTAAATACGAATTTGATTAGTTCTTTTGAACAAGTTAAGATGGACTAAAAGTATTTTTTAGTGGATATGGCTGTGTGAAGTGAAGAGCATCCATAGAAACATATGCAGACTGGTGCTATATTATTCTTTTATCTGCCAGTTACCCCTACAGTCTTACGAAGCCATTATTATAGAAACTTAAGCCTTGTTGCTAATCAACTATACATGTCGTGTAATTCCATAGGTTGGGTTGCAGAATATGCACAAAGACAGCAAATATGTCTTGTTTTTGGATGATGATGTCAGGCTGCATCCTGGTTCTATTGGGTCCCTCACTGCTGAAATGGAAAAGAATCCCGAGGTATGCTTATAAAATCACATGAATTTTTTTTTTTTTTTTTCAATAGCATGTTAAGTTGCTTAACTCTAGTTATGCTATTGATGTCCAGATATTTATTCAAACGGGATATCCTCTAGATTTACCTTCTGGGAGCTTAGGAAGTTACTGCATTTATGAATACCATATGGTATGGACCACAAAGAGCTTCTATTTTATATTTTTCATTGTCTTTTCTAGACATGACAGGGTGTTCAGTCTATATTGTGGCATTTATTTTGGACCTACTGCTGTATTAAATTAGATTTTCCCCATAGAATAAGCCTCAGTCGTGTATTATCAAATCAAAAAATGAATGTGATCACTGACAATTATCAGTTATCCTTTCTGCTTATGGTATCAGCCTTGCAATAGTGGAAATACTTTAGAAAATGCTGAGAAATTGTTTAGAAAATGTTTAGGAAGGACTTTGAAGGGAAAAAAAAGTTATCATCTAAAATATAACTTTTTTAGGTTATTATTGGAGTAACATTTTTCTTTTCTTTTTTTTTTTTGTCCCATGTCTTTTCGTTTTATTCTTCAGTTGTTTGTAATATTATTCATTTAAATAATTAAGTTTATTGTTTCTTTTTTAACAGCCTTGCTCAATGGGGTTTGCTACTGGTGGAAAAAACATTCTTTTTGTGGGGAGGGTGCATGATGGCAAGTACCTTCTACCTCTGTTTTTAACTGCTGCATGCTTAATGGTTAATGTATGTCTGGTGTAACAAAGTTCTTTTCTTACTATTTCCCTCCAGATGCATGCAGATGATTTTAGAACTGACCGGCATGGGGTGGTTTCAGAACTTCAAGATGGAGGATACTCTGATGACATGACTCTTGCAGCTATAGCTGGTACTTTGATATCTGTGCATTATATCTGTAACCTTGTTTGGCTTAGGAGTCTGAACCTAAAACAAGCCATTTTTTGATAATTTTGCACCCTGTATATCATCACTTCATGTATCTTTTGCCCAACAGACTGATCAATGCACTAAAAAACTCAAGTTTGACAACATTTTGTTTTTAACTATTTGATTGGTATTTCCCTTTCTGTGAATGGAATTTCTTTCTTTTTTTTTTTTTTAATCTCCTTTTTTACTTGAGATTGTTGTTTTTCAAATGTTCCAAAAGTTCAAGCAGATTGGAAATGAACCCAACATCAAGATTTGGATACATCATATTTGATGCCATTCTTGTAGTTAGAGGCAACAGATGAGAGTTCAAACTAAACTAAGCAGGATGCACAAAAGTGGACTGTAAGAGTTAAAAGTAAAGTAATATTTGCTTACTGAATTTTAATTGGAGAATTTGAGAGATTGGATATGGTAAGTATTAAGTGGTGGTCTGAAGGACAGGGTACAGGTGGATTATGTATATGGTGTGGAATATGTTTGGTTGGATATAGAATTAGAGAGGAAAAGAAAGGATTAGTTACATGTGGAACCCACTATAAAGTAAGCCATTGGATCTGGACCGAACCTGTTCAAATAAACAAATCAATGTTGTTCCAAAAACTTTGATAATTAAGAGATTGGCTCAACAAATTACATCAAATTATCCACTTAAATTATTTGAAAATAAGAAACATGGCCATATTCTTAAAAACTTGTTAACACCACCTACAAGATTTTTTCATCATTGCACTGATTTCAGATCCTCTTCTAGCTACTAGATGACTAGTTATGAATTTTGATGTCAATTTACTTTTTCAGGAGCCCATAAGAGGCTTATCACATCACCACCAGTTGCTGTGTTTCCTCACCCTCTTGCAAGTGACCTTAGTTTCTCAAGGTTATATCGTATTTTTCAAATTTTGTTTTCACTAAAGATGGTAAATAAGTTTTGACTAATATTGTCTTTTAACTTTTATACTTGTGCAGGTACTGGAATTACTTGAGGAAGCAAACTTTTGTGCTAGAATCATACACAACGAAGGTTAATTGGATTATGAACCGTGCATTATTTTCTACTCACTGCTATCTATCATGGGGATTTGTAGCACCATACTTTATGGCTGTGGTTCATGTTGCAGCAGCACTAAGAATTCATTCTAAAGGATATTTACTTGGTGATACAGCCTTTACTTCTTGTGGTAAGACCTAGTTCTTAAATAGTTGCCAGTGTTGGAAGTTATGAGAAGAATCTGTCGAAGGATGTGTTAAACTGATTTTAGACTATGCTTCCAAACTTGGCAGTTCACCTCTATGATCTAATAGCAGACATTTAAAAACATTATACATGTGAGTGGTGGGTTGCTAATCTAATTTAATAAGATTGGAAAGCAATGCTGGGCATAATATTTGCTGGAATCATATCCTAATACATTGACAAATGCCATCTTTCAGTATTATGTTTTATTATTTAATATAGGTCACTAAAATCTTGCATGATATCCTGGCATGTAATGGGTAAATAATGTGCTTCTTGCTCTCTTTCTCTCACTTACCTCATTGTTGAGAAATCAGTGGCAACTGCCAAGGCCCTCCTCTTGAGGCTTTTGTTCTGTCTATATTTTTTTATGGTATAGTCATATAAAAAAACTTTGTCTAATTAAAAGCTCAAGCTACAGGATGCCAAAGCATTGGGAGATGACTTATACTGGTTTGGCATTTATCTACTATTTCTTCAGGGTTGTTATATAGTGGGCTGCCTAGCTATATGCACTTTTGTGGAACTTCTCTCCATGTGGAACTTAACAAGAATAGAAGTTCAACTATGCAACATGTTGTCTCCTGAGGCAACACCACTATCACTTGCCTCATATAATTGGTGCCTGGTAAGTGCTCTGTCTCTCTCTGATACACTGGTTCATGATGCAGTCATATATGCGAACTCTGCTTTTCTTTTCCTTTGGAAGAGTTTTTTCTATTACTTTTACGTGATCCTGAGTTTACAACCCTGTCTTGTTTAAAGCATTATAACTTCAGTTGACATTAACTCTTGACTAAAACAGAAGTGTCAAAAAATCTTTTGGAGTAAGTACTGAAGAAGGTGAAATTATATTCAAGAATTCAAGCCTCCGTTAACTTCCATCTTTAGCACCATTATTACCTATTTCAAGTACGGGCAGCATGCCCTTTTTTCTCTTTCTTCTTTCTTTCGCCCCATTCACCTCTCTTCTTTAGAAGTTCCTTTTCATTTGTTAGTTTATTCTTTTTGGGTGTAGTGCTGAGATCCTGATAATATTGTTGAAACTTTTGAATATAGAACTTTACATCATTTAGTTTTTTGATAGGGTTTGCAATGATGAGGTTTAACTAATTTTTTGTTGCAATGTTCATTTGGAACAGGTATTTATTGCAATATTGGTGGATAATTTTCTATCCAGTCTCTGCAATGCGTTCACATTTTTCTCAGTCTATTAATTGGTCTGGCATTCGATACCACCTGAAAGATGGAAAGATAAGCAAGGTATGCTCGTTGATGCTTTTCATTGTCATGAAACTGATCTTTCTTTAGCCTTCTTTCTATTTTAGAAGGCAACTACCATAAACTTTATCTGATATATAGTTGGGGACAACTTCAAACAATAAATTACTATGAATGAATTGCAAATGAAAATTAGTTTTTATTATTCTCTTGTAATGCTTTTGCTTTTGTGTTTGGGTATCCTGGTAGAGTGAACATGATTTTAGTAGCTATAACCTGGCTATACATTTGTTCTCTAGTTCGTATACAGTGAACTGCAATTGACTCTTGTTAGTTCCTTTTGAACTTTCCATTTCCCTTATAACACATTCTGTTCTCATTTTTTCTGAACACATTATAGATTGACAGAAGCAAGGATAAAGGTCCAAAATTTACAGATTTGGAGGAAAGCATTTATATGGGACGAAAGGAGCTCCTCCAAGAGCCTCTATACTTGGTTATTTGTCAAGGGGTTTGGCCCAGTGGCGGCAACCCAAGAAATATGACGTGTAGGAATGAAGTTAGCAACAAAAGAAACTTGGTGATTGTTGTCCTTGTGTGGTCTGATGGGTAGGATGGACTGCAGGAGCAGAAGCCATCGGGTTTATATCTATTCCAACAGATTGTTTAGCCATTGCATCATTGATTGATTCATGTCCAATTATGATTCATTTCATTACTGAATACCCATTCATCAATTGATTCTTGAGTGTCAACCTTCGGTCCTAGGTTGATTTTGTATCTTTTTTTTTTTTTTTTTTTGTAACAATTCTTGTCAGTAGCTTATACATTAAAAGGTCTAGTGTAAGGCAGAACAGTTGTGCTGTAGCATAGCATTCATTCCTTGTTGAGGTCTGAGTGAAGGTCTCTGTTGTGTACCTCTAAACAGTTAGATATCCTGGCAAGTGCCAGCAGCAACGTGTTTAAGTTCCTTGTATCTCAAAACCGTTTAAGCATTTTGTTTTGTTGCGGAATTAGTATCCATTAGAGTATGCTTGGTTTAGGGTGAGATGAGGCTGGAAGTCTTTTACGTAGGTAGCCATTTCATATGTAGAAATAGAAAAAAATAAGTTTTAACAAAGCATATCTTGATCTTTGATTAAGATCCTTCTCTCCCAAGTAAAATAATGGGAGCCGATTATTTTACTTTTCCAATTATTCACTTGGGAGGCGTGGATCTTAATAGAAAAATCTTCATGTATACAAAGAAAGAAAGAAAAAGATCTCATGAGATACTTGCCATTATCCAAATGCATCACCAAAGCTGTAGCAAGACCTGTCTCTAACTGTTATATTACAATTCATGTGCATCACCAAAGCTGCAGCAGGACCTGTCTCTAACTGTTATATTACAGTGAGATGAAATAATTTTTGATAAAATAAAAATAAGAATAAAAATAAAATAAAATGAAAATTTTTATGAACGTATTTAATACATATTGATAAAATAAAGTATTCTTTATTTTTTATTATTTCTAGTATGTTGAAATAGAAATAAAAAAAATAAACAAAAAAAATTGTTGAAAACAAAAATACTCTATTACAAAAGATTTAAAAATCTAAAAAAATTGTAACTTTTAATATGTTATAAATATGTTAAAAAGGTAAAAAATTAAAAACTAACTCATTGAGATTAAGCTAATTTAGAGGGCTGATTTGTCAACTGTTATGCAGAATGTCGCCACTAATTTTCAAAGATTAAGCAATTTACAAAGTGGAGCCACATTATCAGAGTCAGCTACGGATAGTCTGAGTTCACGTATACTTCTCCGGATAATCTGACATTAGTTTTGAACTCTGTTCGGAATCTAATTTCTCAAGGGAAAATAAAAGATTTATAATCATACTAAGTTTTTACAATTTATTTGCCCTTGTGTTGTCATTTCAAATTTCTTACTTAACCCTGAAAGAAGCAAGAAATTTGATTCTCTAATTCAAATTTGTTTTCTTCAAGCACTCCATTTACATTTGGCAATCTGGATTCCAAACTTGTAATAGGAAGTCTGCCGCTTGAAAGTATATATCTAGGTTGAGCATGACGCTCTTACAAGGTGTGTCATCATAGTGATCTGCTTTTAAAAGTTCAAAAATTTTATAATCTATTCATCGACTCACAGAAAACAGACATAAGGTAGTCAGTTTCAATACCTGCAACCATTTGTCAAAAATTTAAATGGATGTTCTATAAATATGCAAAAAAGGGCAGATAATATCCAAGCCATGCAAGATTTTCTAACAGACCTCTTCCATTTTCTAAGACACAAAATAATGTAGAGTTTCATAATATTAATCTTTCTGCAAATCTCCAATGTAGAAATCGTCAATCATGTCAAAGACCCGGGTTGCATGCTGGGCCTGCCATGTATGCATGCAAAGATGTGAGCATTAATGCATGCAGAAGTGCCGGCAATACAAGTTACAAATGAGATTTTGACTGCAGCCAGTATCAAAGGGTTTTGAGTAGATGATCCAATATCATTATTATGTCTAATCTAGCAAAAATGCACTTGAAGCAACCATTCATATAATTTAGGTTGTGTTTCATAATTTTCAAGTTGTTTTTTGATCATGTCTGCAGAAAATAAAGAGCTGGACTGAAGAGTAGGGGAGTAGGAAAGAGGAACTAGTATTAGGGGTGGAATCTCTCTCTCTCTCTCTCTCTCTCTCGCTAAATAAGTGCAACCATACATTTTAAGTTTCCAAAAATCTTTAAATTTTGGTGAGGGTCCAAAATCTCAACTCTTTCACTCCTTATTTCACCCATTCTCTCACTCCTTATTCCACTCCCCTCTTATTCTTTGTAAATGAAAACAAAAAGAAATGAAAGGTCATCAAAAACAACCTTACATTTCTGTATGGGCAGATAAACAAAAGGAGCCCTCAATTTAGTGCTTACTGCAGAAAAGAATGGTTTCCAAGAAACAAAATCAAATAGATGCTTACCCATAAAACCCTTCAGTTGAATCATCTCCAGCATGTGCAAGGATGGCATCACCACCAGGATGTTCCTCGACATATGAAGTCACATCATACACCTAGGGATAATTTCAAGATAAAAGATGGAAGAAATGGGGAAATGAGTGAGAAAACAATCATATTGCTGCACTATCACCAATATTCCAGCTTAATATGATAAAGACAAACTCTAATGTATGACAAAACCTTATCTTTGATGATGATCCAACAATCTGTTCGCTTGTTATGCAAGATACTTCAATTTTAGTGTATCTTTTGGATTCCTAATAATCCAGAAAGGAAAACAAGAAGCATAATACAGTTAGAAATCTAATGTTTGGAAACATAGACAAAATAATCTATATGAAATGATCATTACTCAACTATGCATTTTTGGAAGCATGGTATTGGCACATAAATACCACGGTAGCAAATAAAGCATGGGAAATAATCATTTTTCTTGTCTCAGACTAAGTTAAACTTGGGAGTTTTAGGCTCCAATTGGCATACTTCTAGTAGGAATCTGATGGCTATTTGAATATCTAGCTATTGGACATACCCCTTAAGAAGCACCTAATCAAAAAGCAATGAAATCTATTTTTCCATTATTTTATCCATAACCTCATGGTTTTATTGACTTCTAGTCCTGTCTCCTCCTAGTTTACTTAAAAATTTATCCTAAAATCTGTATTTCAGCTGCTATCAGTCTTAAACTTTTCTATGTAAATAGACCTATTGATCAATTCAAGACCTTCTAAAATCAAATTTAAGAGCTAGTGGAATAGAAACCAATACAATAATTATCCAAATCTATTTTGGTATTGCACGTGCTATGCAGTTATATCAGGGTATTTTTCAATTATTTGGTCCTCATTGACAAGATTTGAAGTATATAGAAAAAAATTGAAGATCTGTTTGGTTGCTTTTAAATAAAAAATTAACATTCCTGAAACCCCCCCCCCCCCCCCCAAAACAAAAATAGATCAAAAATAAAAACAAAAAGTGTAAATCTTTTAGGTTTCTTAGTTAATGAAAGAGCAGAGCTGTTCTTATTATGCCAGTTTATCCAGCATCCAGGTTGATCTAACCAATGATATAATTCCAGCATCACACATTGTTACTAGCTTCTTTGCAGGGCAAAGGCAAAGCAATGCCTACTTTCTTGGATGCCTAGGCTTCCAAATTTCCATCAAAATTCAATTTCAATCAAATTATTAGCAAATAATCCAGTATAAATCTTACACAAGCATTAATAAGAATGTTTTCTTCTAATGCTTAGGCAGTTAACAAACTTTAGCAATGTTGAGAAACTTGCAAAGCACAGCAAAAAATAGGGGCCTGTACGTGTGTAATGACACTATCTATGTCATATGAATCAGATTATTCAAGAATACAAGTTGAAACAAATCCAGAAATTCTTTCTTTAGAAAGGAAAAAACTCTAAAGAAGTTTACAAACAGAAATTACCTTACTGCTAGCATTTGAATGAGCCACTTTGCTAATATCTGCATTTGACAAAATGGAATTGAATTTACATCGAATCCAATGATATTTTAACATCATCCAGGTAAATTCAAAATTATAAAAAGGAGGAAAGCTCAAAATTTGCACAAGAATTAACTAAGATTACCAGATTTAGATCGTCTTGGATCAGAAAGAGAAGCCCAACAAAAAGACCCAGCACCAATGTCACTACAACTATCACCATTTCCCAGAACTGAGCTCACAGCACTGTCTACAAATCCAACCCAGAAAAATTAACGATAAAAAAACCGGTAAATGCGAAAAAATTGGAAAAAGAATACAGAAAAACAGATTTATACAGAATTAACACTAGTAGAAGCACAAAAAATCCATCTGTGTACGGAAACGAAAGGGAAGTCAAGCAAGATAACCTGCAATGGAGCTTCAGAAAGGGTTTGTATTGATTTAAAGGTGACGCCGGCGATTGGAAATGTGGAAGCAGATTCGTCGGGGAAGAAGGTGAGAGATTCCGGAACCCTCCCCCGGGTACTCAAAACGAGAGGGATTTTGCCGATATCCCTACTCGATTCTAAACCCATTTCTTTAGATCAACATTTTATGTTTCCTGAAAAGGCAGAAAATTTTAATTTAATTTTTTTCAAGAACATAATTTGTCTGGGTCGAGAGGAAATTAACGGTGAGCAGATTTGTAAACAAAATGACAAAACAAAAAATTTATAATTAAACAATTGATCAAATATGTCTAGAGACTCTGGGCAACCCTCAATATGGCATTTTTTTCATTTCATATATATCAATTTTTTTAGATATAAACGTTTAGGCGAGGAGAAGTTTCTCATTATTAGTCAAAGTGAATCATAAATCTTATATACAATTCTAAGTGAATTTATATATAGTTCACCAAGATAGACAATTAGTATAATTTGAACTCTTAGCTTAACGAAAGTGATGTTGATTTGTAAACAAAATGACAAAATAAAAAAATTAAATAAGTTTCAATTTTATCGATTTCATCCCAAAATATTCAAATGTGCATATATGTAAAAGAATACTTGTTCAAAATAATAATATTAAAATTTATTATAAAACAAATGTAATAAATATTGAGAATTTACAATTTCGACTTTTAACCAATATAAGCAATTACAAATAATAAAATTTCAGATTTTATTATTTTCCTTATTATACCTCATTATTTTACACTAAGTTTTATTTTTATATTTAATTCATAATAAATATTAAAGACACAAGGAACTTCTTAAGATTTGCCTGATTAAAAATGAAACTCATTTAATAGTTTATGTTCAAATAAAAAATTAAATACAATTTATAAACTATACTAAATATTTAAGTGTATTTTTATTAAAAGAAGATGATGGATGGCTAATATGAATTCTACTATGGCAACTTACATATTTTATCCATATTCACTTCAAATTGTAGCTAAGGGTGAATTGCGTTTGGTGAGAGCAAAAAAGTCAGGCAAGATGACTGAAAATTCCCATGTCACATAATCAAAAACATATATAATTATTCAAGTCACCAACTGCAAAAACATATTTTGAATTTTGTAAAAAGTTATATTTTTTTATTGGTTAAATAATCTGATTGTCATATTTAAAGGGCAATCTAAGAAAATAAAGTTTATATGTGGGTGTTGTTCATAAAACAATTAAGTTAAAATGAAGTGAAAAGTACTCAACAATTAGATTTTTACAAGGAAAATGCTAGACTTACAGAAAATTTTGATTTTTTAAAAAGAAAATGCTAAACTTACAGAAAATTTATGCAAAAGAGGACCGAAATGACATGGTTGAACAAGTAGACAGCCCCATTTGTGAAATTATCATATATTGATGCTTATTTTCATGATTTTTTTTTTTAAAAATCTATTAATGGAAAGTTGATTTCATTTGAAAAAAATTCTATTATGCGATACTGTGAAAACTGATTTATATCGAATCAATTTTTCAATAGGAGCTAATTTTTTTTTGAATTAACTTTTAAAGAGAAGCTGGTTTGTTCATAATTAATGCAAGTTATTTACCCGACAACTGACTTTTCAACTCCAAAAAAAATCATTTATTTTAGTAAATAATTTGAAAGTACCTATTTTTGTAAATAAAGAATTAAAAATACCCTTATTTTTCCTTTTTCCTCTTCTTTTGACTCCATTTCAAATAGGGTTAATTGCCTTTCTTTTCTTTTTCCCCTTCATTTCATGGATTCATTCATATTGTCCAATCTCGTGAAGCTAAAAAGAAGAGAAGGAAGGCAATCAGCCCTATTTTGGTAATGGATGGGAACTATCACAAAATATCAGAAGAAATAAGAACGATTGGGGGAGGGATAACTAGGAGATATAAATAAAGGATTATTGTGTGATTGGATAATTTATTGTGGAAATTGATGGATTTGTTTTCCAATTGTGTGGCCTTTGTCAAAATATCTTCAATAAAATAAACTTTCTTAATCAAGTAGCAATGTAGTTGATGGTTGCCATGTCATTCTCCTGAAATTTTTGTCTTATTTTTTTGTTCTACATTTTTTTAAAATTTACAAGAGAAGAATCCTACTAGAGAATTATTAATATTAATTAAAAATTTTTATATTTACAATCATTTTCTTTTTTTCACAATCTATGACACGATGGTGGAACCTAGTTCTTTTGACATAAGAGATGTTTCCAATAGTTTATCAAGTGAGCTGGGGAATCAATGCTATCGATTAGTGCATTTACAAGTGCAGAGTTCCTCTTTTTACTTTTGACTCATAGGAGGGCGGGCATTTCTCTGTCTCAGGAGTCGGGTTTATCGAGTTTGATATGGCAAAAGTGGGTTTTTGGTCTAGATTCCTGCATAAATTGTGTTTCACCCGGTGTGGACAGTCGGGTAAACTGAATCCCATACAGTAGAAGTTTCAGCAATTATTGATCCAGGTGACACCTGTTCACCATGTTTGGATGACACTGGTTCTTCCCATTGCTTGCCTATAGACTCTTTCTTCTTGGCTTGTCCTCTGGTACTGACATGACTATGATCGATTGAATCTGATTAGCTTACCTTCTCTCTATGCAATAAGACTAATTCAAAGAAAAAAAACAAATAAGGTAAAAGGAAGGTTATGGAATTCAAGTTTTTTTTATTATTATTATTATTATATTATTATATTTGATGTCTACACAAGGGGAAGAGGAAGAGAATTAGAAGTTGAATTCATGATATTAGATGAATCTCACAGTTATTATATAGATCTTGGCTTTTTTGTCAAGTATTAAACGTTAATTAAGTGACACAAATCTCTTTGCCATCTTAAGTTTTTGAAATTATCACTTGTATTTTTATTCAACATGCATAGCTATTAAATGATTTAATAACTTTAGCCCTTGAGTGATGGGTTTTTAAATCAAGCCCGTGTCTTAATTTTTGTTTTCTAATCTAATTTGTTTGATTGCAAATCTCTCTTTAACAATAAGACGATTTAAATTTATTGAGAGATATATAATTGCAATACAATAGCATAAAATCATGTGACACAAATTTAACATAATTAGTTTAATTTTTAATTTAAATGAATTATTAATTATTTTTGAAAAATTTTCATACTTGAATTTAACTTAAATTAAGAAACCTGCATGAATTAATGTAACGCATGGCTTATAGGATCTACTTAGCTTTGGACTACCATGATCGGACTCTGACATCCCAAATTTAACACCGAGCTGATCACCAATTTGAGGAATTCAAAATCACGTATCCATGTTTCAATCAAGATGAAGACAGTCAGGGTTGTATGTCGGGTTCTTATATAAATCTTGTAGGAACAAAATCTGCTGCAAGGAACTCTTGTAAAATTTACTTTTATATTAAACTTCAATTATACTTCCACACAGAAAGTCACTTTTTCTTCAAGATTATTCCTGAAGAACAGAATAAAGTTAGCAGAACAGAAGCACATGGGAAGCCCATATTCTCTTGACCTCATTTTCATCTACTTTCTTCAATTTCCTTGTTCACATTTAAACAAGTGGCTATATTCAAGCACAAATAGCCCAAAGAACCAGAAAAAGAAAAGGAAAAGGAAAAAAATGAAGGGTGTTTGGCCCAAGAGTACTAAAACTCTCTCCCACAGCAGAACAATCTCAGTTGAACCATCAAAGCAAGGAAAAATGAAGTCTAAGCCTGAAAGTGTGAAACATGAAGTTCTATTCCGCGTTCCCATGTGCAAAGTCTACTTGATGGATGAAGGGGAAGCTCTAGAACTCGCCAATGGTGATTTGACCATCCTCCGCATCTCGGATGGGAACGTTTTCCTTGCTTTTGTTGTGAAAATTGGTGAACTACAGTGGCCTTTGACGAAGGATGAACCTGTGGTGAAGCTTGATGAAAAGAATTACTTGTTTTCATTGCCCATGAAGGATGGTGATCCTCTAAGCTATGGAGTGGCTTTCTTGGATGGGGGCAATTTGGTCCTTCTGGATTCATTTTTGCGAGAACACACATGTTTTTTCTTGCTCATCTTCATCGAATCAAAGGAAGGATTTGAATTGGAAGGAGTTTGCTCCAAGGATTGAAGATTATAACAACTTTTTTGGCCAAGGCAATTGCTCAGGGAACCGGGCAGATTGTTAAGGGCATCTTCACTATAAGCAATGGCTATTCCAACCAGGTCCTTTTTTCTAAATTTGTTTCTGAAAACTGTTTCCTTCTTTCCATAAGAGAAAATTCATTTAGCAATGGAAGATTTTTTTTTTTTTTTTGGGGAAACAAGCCTTCTTTTAGAAACTGATTAGAAATGCTGTTTTCAGAATTCTTAGAAACTATTTTCCCTCAGAAATTAAAGCAATAATGTTTTCATAAGCAAGACATGACAAAATGATAACCCAAGACAAAAACAGATTCCAACAACTTACTACAAGAGAACACATCCATATAACACTTGAATTTAAACCCTTGCATAAGAGTTTGTATAAGTGTAATTCGATAGCTAGGGATGAAACAGGTGCAAAAGCAAGGAGAAATGATTCTAAAAGAAGGAAATGTGAAGAAGAAAAATGGTCACTTAGATTACAAAGGTGCTGATACATCAAAGAAGAACAAAGTCAATGAAAGCATGAAACGGTATCTGAAAGCACTGATCCTTTCACTAACATGCTATTTTTGCAGCAAAAATTTGGATAATGGCACACCAAAAAGATACCTACAATACTTCTTCTGCTAAGTTCCCTCTTCGTTTTTTTGTCTTCCCCCCCACCCTTTCCCTCAATATAGTGTGAGAGAGCTGTCCATGCTGACAGAAAACGATGAGCAAAAGCATGCTTGATAGAGTTGGAATTGGAAGTGCATCCGTAATGGCACCAGCAGTTCGGTCCCAAGCAGGACAAGCCTTTCTAGCCATGGTTCCGGGGGAGGTCCTCTTGGCTTCACTCGATGCTGTTAGTAAGTGGAAATCTCCTTCCTATTGATTTTTTTTTCAGAGCTTAATGAATAATTTTCTTGAGACTACAGAATTATCAAAAAGGGAAAAAAAAAATCTTTTCATAGATCGTTAAAAAATTGTCTTCAGAAAATAGGCACCTTTAAAGTAAAGTAGGAATATTTGTTTTCAAAATTCCTAAATCTATTTTCAATAGAAAATGAAAGTGAAACAAAATGACGGAGTTCTCCACATTTCCATTAAAACATTGAAAATCAAATGAAACAGAAAAATGTTTAATAACTTTTCATCGATCCGATAACAAAATACTTTCATCTTGGTACTGCAGATCGAGTTTTGATGCTGAAAACAATTGTTCTGAAAACCAAAAATTGTTCTGAAAATAATTTTTTATGGTACATAGGCTCCCCTTTTTAAAGAATATCAGAAGTTGTTTTCCAAATTCAAAGAGTAATTTCCACAGGAAATGAAGGCGTGGTGAAAACGGAATTTAAAGCTGAAAACAGAAACCAGAGATATGCTTTGTAACTTATCATTGTTCTGATAACCTTTACTTCGTAATTGCAGATAGAGTTTTGGATGCAGCTGAAGCTGCTGAAAAGCAGGCCCTTTTGGCTACTTCTGCAGCTGCCACCAGGATGGTTTCCGAAAGGTGAAATCCCTAATTTCTTCAACTTGTTCAGTTAAGTGTGTTTTGGGTTATACCCAACTGCATAAAATTACTAATCTTTTGCATATTTCCAACTCACCCTAATGAGAATTTTGTAGGGGAGACATCCTCGAAAGGTTCTGAAACAACCATAACTACTTAAGTTTCTTTAATGGTTAAATTGTATTAGCTGGTCTTGGGCCTTTCTCAGCTCCAAAACCTAGCTCGAGTTGAAGTTTTCTTTCGCGCATGTACACTACCAATACCCTAATAAGCTCCCTATTCACACATTGCAAGAGAGACAACTGGATAAAGGGGACATGTCTTCTAGTTTTGTGTGTGAGAACTAGAGAGAGATATAAAGTACAGAGTTAGAATTGTGAGAGTTTTCTTCCGTGTTTAGAAGAAGATCTAAGGAGAGAGAGTAAGCTTCTAACAAAAATCCTACCGTAATCCTACTATTGTTTATAGTGGAGGTTTGGCTAAATCGATAGGATCCCATTATTTTTTCTTTAGAGGTTTTCACGTAGAAATCTCATGTGTTCTTGTTTAATTCTCTTATTTTCTTCACATTATCTCTTTGTATACATATGCTCGTGTTCACCGAAACCTAATAGATAATAAAAACAAATAAATTATTCACATTTTATACAATTATTTTGGTTATTAGTTAAATATGATTTTCCCTTTTCTGTTTTCTAATGGCATTTCAGTTTTTGGGAGTTGCAGGTATGGAGAAAGTGCAGGGGAGGCAACAGGGGATGTGCTTGCATCTGCAGGTCACTCTGCTAATACTGCATGGAATGTCTTCAAGATTCGGAAAGCTCTCACTCCTTCACCATTTGTTCCTCCGGCGTATTAAAGAACACAAGAAGCATTAAGAAGTCTTAGAGCTTGTGGAATCAACTTACTCATCAGAAGCATAATTACAACAAGAATAAAATAAAATTTAATAAAAACCCTTTCATACTCCTTCAGAAAACAAGGGCTTTGCCGAATATGCTTGTTAGCTAGTATGACTTCCTTTTGTATTTGCTTTAATGTCATAATTCATGTTGTGGTTATGTTCATACTATTAGCCAAAGTGTTAAAAGCTCATTTATGGTGGAAACAAGGTTACAAAAGTGTTCTAGTAGTGTTGTGTGATGACTCTTATACCCACATTAATTTTTTGTAAATACCAACATGATTTATATTGAATTTCCCAAACAAAATGATTTCTTTCCCCTTCTTCTCCCCTTAATTAAAATTTTGAAATAAGATTAAGTTAAAAATAAAAAACAAAAAGCCTGTATCTGTGTTTTGTTACTTTAGCACCTTTCCCCCATGTTTCTATAATATGTCTTTTATTTTACTTTTTTTTTATTTAAAAAAGGAGATATAGAAGTTAGAAACTGATTTTTAAATATTTCAAAAGTGATTGTATGTATTGAGAAGTTTAAAATCTCTTTAAAAAGTTGTTACAAACGTCATTTTAATATACTGTAAAACCCACATAAGTTAAGCTCAAAAGCTCATCAAAACATGATTTGTCAAGTGTCACCAAATGATGTAACTAAGAATGAAGTCAAACATAATTAAATTTTATTAGCTTGAAAATATAGTTGTAATTTAGAATTTAAATATAATAAACATAAATAATTAGCAAAAATAAAAAATTAAATATTTAAAAGTCAGTCATTTTCTAGGAAAATTAATCACCTAGTTTTTATCACATAATGAAATTTAAAACCGTTAAAAACTCCTAATAATACTTAATAATGATAGTCTTAAAAATTGAAAATACTGTTGGCCAAAAATAATTGGAGGTTTTGGAAGAGCTTTTTTTTTTTCCTCCATTTTTTGGCTAGATTATCATTTTGCTAAATTTTGTTTCTTTTTTGGTTTTGGAGAGGAGTATTTTCTTAAACTTCATGCGAAAAATTGACTTTCGAAAACTCTAAGTGAGTCTGGGCTCCTTTACTGGGCCAAAGCCATGTAATTTGGGCCCATAGTTTCGGGAATATCTTACGAGAAAATGACACCTAAGGACCAATTCATAGATTTTGTAACAGTTGAAAATTGATGTATTAAATTTCATAATATTTAAAAATTGATACACTAAATTAATAAAAACTATTTAATGTATCAAATTAACAAAAAAAATATTTCATGTATTAAGGTATAAATTTTCGGACCCTAGCTGGGTTTGTTGGTTTATATTAGCTCAGCTCGCTTGGGGTTAGTTTGTTTGTGGCTTGTTTTTCTCTCAATAGAATTTTCCTATTCAAAGTTTTCTTCTCATATCTTTCTAAGTTAACTATTTTGAGCACATATATATATTTTCTGGAATTACAAAGTTGAAATTTGCCGGTAGTCAAATTTTATGCAATTATTTGTTCCACTGCTTGACGGTTAATTTATTAATTTCAAGTCCCTTAACTTTTCAGAAGTGTTAATTGAGCCAAAACATTAAACTTTTGTCACGGATAAACCATTAGCTTGATAGCCAACAAAATGGAAAAAGAAAAAAAAAATGCTGACCACCTCCTTACCTCCTCCCTTCAGCCGCTATTAGCTCTTCTAGAGGCTTGGTGATGGGAGCCGCCGGGAGGTTGGCTAGAGACATGGGTCACCCACTTCGCTAAGGATCCTTCTCCGCCATAGCCAAGTGAACCCATGAAGAAAACATAATTTAAAGTTTTATACTTATTGTATCACGAGATATAATAATCTGTGTCATTTAACTTTGAACATTTTTCTCGTCAAATGGAGACAAATTTTTGAAATTAATTCTTCTTATGATGCAGTAATGTCTCAAAAGATTTAATCCAAATAAACTCAAAGATCACCTCCACATAAATGATAATAGAGGCACTTTTGTGATGCCTAAGCAACCATTAGCCTTAATAATTTATTAAATAAGGTTCACTAAGCTAAAATATTTAAATTTAAATTATTTAATATAATTTTAAAAATTTTATAGACTATAAAATCTTCCATTTGTTATCATTACTTAATATAAAATACTGTGAATGCAATCATACTCCCATTTTTAGTGTTTTCTTGGCGAGAAAGGTATTATTAAATTAAACTTACTAAATTAGGCTAACGGAGATTCAATGGATTAGGGTATCACATGATCATGTGCCCTGTACATGCCCGCTCTTTGGTTATAGTTGATTTATAATTCAAGGTGGTTTTCTTTTATATACCCACCCATCTTGAGAAATTATATTTTATCGAGGAAAGCAAATCAAATTAGACTTAAATTAATCATTAAGAGATGCTGAGGGCTTTTTAAAGTTCCTTTGTCATGTCTTCTTCCCTCCACCCTCTTTGCATGGCTGTCATTGGACGTCTTCGTTAAAATTATTTTGATTTGACAAAGTTGTTCCTGGACCCCACAAAGCCTGACGAGTGGATTGATCCTCTCAAACTGCTTTGTTTTAGGTATTTTTCTCATCAAACGCAGCGTAAATATCTATGTGTATATATAACACTATCTAATTTATTTGATTTCTGATTAATTGGATTATATATTATAATATTTGTTAGATTAGTATTAAATTAAAATTTGAAAATAATTGACCCCATTGGATATATCCTGACATTATATATAGGAAAATAATTTATTTGATATTAGATCTTGATTCATTGATCAGGGGCTTTACTATTTATTAGGTCAGTATCGTAATCAATATTTGATATTGATCAAATAATTGTGAAGGTGATTAACCCTTAGATCAATCCCTAACGATAAATATAAGATGTATTATAAGTGTTAACATCTATTAGATCAGCATCAGAATCAGTATTTGATACTAATCTAATGATTGTGAAGGTAACAGACCCACTAAATCAATCTCTAACACAAAATAAAAGAAAATTATTTATTTGATGCTAATCTTGATTTACTAGATTTCTATTGGGTTAGTATCAAATAAATATAAGTTTGAGTTGCTATTTGTGAAATTATAGAACTATTATTGGCCAACTCAAATCCTTACTACTTAATATCTCATGGGAAGTACAAACTCCACTTTACATGATATTTGCAGAGTCTGGGTACTAATTAGGATCAAAGGTAAGTATTATTTTCATTTTGCTATTGTTTAATTGTATGTGAAAGAGAAAACGTTAAGATGAACTTGAAACTGATGGTCGGGGTTTAAAGGAAGGTGGACCAATATCTTGCCAAAGATCACATTATTGATTACCAAACTGATGATTTTGAAAATCTTTAGACTGAACAAAGCATGCGGCTGCACAACTCTGGTTATTTTATTTATTTATTTGCATGCATTTATGTTTACAAGTGAAAAAGCACACCTTAATTAGGGTTAAAGTACGCCTTAATTAGAGTTAAAATGAGGGGACCAATCCACTCAGACAAATTGGAGGTTATAAAAAACTTAATATTAGTGCGTGATTGATGCGACTACACCTTCACGCTCGATGCATAGGCAGTCGAGATCGTATAAACAAATATTTAATTTATAATAATTTTATTAGTTTAGACTTATGCTGACATATTTGTATTTATTTTATCGTAAGAAAGTTAAGCTCAAGCTTAACTTGTTTACTTTTAGTTGAAAGTTGAGTTTCAACACTGCTTTGTTTAGCTCTATCTCAGTTACATTTAAGCTTAAATTTGCAATGAGTTAAATTTATTTACCATATTTGAATGACACACTAGGAACAAAGCTCTAAATGTATTTAATTTTAAAATTTAAATATTTACTAAGTTTAAAAATATTGAATTTAACTTTGTTAATATATATATATATATATTTATAATTTTCTATATACATGAACCTACTCCAGTATGATGACCCAATAAATATTAACGCTAATAATATATTAAGTACAAATAACTAAATTAAAATATTTAAATCCAAGTTTTCAATAATAATTTCAAAAACTTTATATATAACACTATCTCATAACATAGACTAAAATATAGTCTTTTAGGGTAAAAGATTTTCTACCAGACCTCTTCCATTTTCTAAGATAAAAAATAATGTAGAATTTAATAATATTAATCTTTTTGCAAATCTCCAATGTAGAAATCGTCAATCATGTCAAAGACCCGGGTTGCATGCTGGGGCCTGCCATGTATGCATGCAAAGATGTGAGCATTAATGCATGCAGAAGTGCAGGCAATACAAGTTACAAATCAGATTTTGACTGCAGCCAGAATCAAAGGGTTTTGAGTAGACGATCCTATAGCATTATGAATGTCTAATCTAGCAAAAATGCACTTGAAGCAACCATTCATATAATTTAGGTTGTGTTTCATAATTTTCATGTTGGTTTTTTGATCATGTCTGTAGAAAATGAAGAGCTGGACTGGAGAGTAGGGGAGTAGGAAAGAGGAAGTAGTATTAGGAGTGGAATTCTCTCTCTCTCTCTCTCTCTCTCTCTCTCTCGCTAAATAAGTGCAAACATAAATTTTAATCCAAATATTCTTTAAATTTTGGTGAGGGCCCAAAATCCTCAACTCTTTCACTCCTTATTTCACCCATTCTCTCATGCCTTATTCCACTGCTACTCTTTATTCTTTGCAAATAAAAACAAAAAGAAATGAAAGGTTATGAAACAGAACCTTACATTTCTGTATGGGCAGATAAACAAAAGGAGCCCTCACTTTAGTCCTTACCGCAGAAAAGAATGGTTTCCATGAAACAAAATCAAATAGATGCTTACCCATAAAAACCTTCAGTTGAATCATCTCCAGCATGTGCAAGGATGGCATCACCACTAGGATGTTCCTCGACATATGAAGTAACATCATACGCCAAGGGATAATTTCAAGATAAAAGATGGAAGAAATGGGGAAATGGGTGAGAAAACAATCATATTGCTGCACTATCACTAATA